AGGTATGGCATCCTTATGTTCGACTCCGCAGGGCCGGGAAGATGGGCGCTGATCAGTTGCCGACTCTTCATGTATATCTTCAGCTTGGGCCAACTGCTCCTCCTCCAAAATACTTCTGTTAGGATTCCTACGCTTTTTTTTAAATCGATTTCTTGTTTGCCCGATGATCCATGAAGCTTAATTGCTCCACGGTAGGACGTGTGGATGTTTTTGTCCGTGTTGTCGGGTCTAAGGAACCCGAAGAAGTCGTTTTCGTAAATACCTCTATTTTTGGTTTCCGCTTTTATATTGCAGACCCCTGGTTAGTAAACTAAACCTTTTTAACAGGGATCTCCAGGTGCTTGGGNNTTTAGGGGTTCTGGGTTTAGGGTTTAAGGTTGAGGGTTCACGGGGATTTAGGATTTTGGGGTTCTAGGTTTAGGTTTTAGGCCGTACGCAAAGGGGTTTAGGGTTTGGGGTTTCCGCACCCACCGAAGCCCTACACTCCCCATGAAACTCTTGCAAGGTTTTGTTTTTTTGATGGCACGCTTTTCGTACCTTTGTGGGTCGTCCTCAAGTCAAAAATAGGGTCCCCTTTCAGGAACCCAAAACAAGGCGGCGCCCTGAACTGCCCTCGTAGTACCCTTATAAAAAACCTGGTTGCAGAGCGCAGGCACTACTCTTCCACACGCCCCAAAACCCTAAACCCTAGCCCTAGACCCAAAACCCTAAGAAAAAAGCACCCTTCTGAGGGTTCTCGAAGGTTTCTGTTAAATTTCGGCTGCTCTTAGGTCTCGGGTTGGAGGTTCGGGGGTTCGGTTGCACTTCAGTGGTCCTTAAGTTTGGGGGTATAGGGGTTTAGGGTTTAGAGTTGCCTGCTTCGACAGCTTAGACTAGGCTTCCTAGCCCATAGTTTAGGGTTTGTGGTTTACGGTTTCGGGGTTTGGAATTCGCAGCCTGTTGCAGTTTCTTCAACAGACAGGTTCATCAAGCACACCGCGCAGATTGCAAAAGCATACAAGGAGCAGCGCACCGTGCGATGCTTCAGAGGCCTGACGCTGCCCTCTTATCTTCTGTCTTCCAGGCAGGTGCGATATCAATTTAGTCATGACTAGTAGGGTTAGTAACATCGCCTAGCAAAATGAGGCTACATGTTCCTGTCTACCAGGCAAGAGTTCGTGGAGTTTACACTGGCAGTCTTCTTGTTTGTGATGCTGACGATGGAGCCCTTCCTGCATTGCCTGAATGTTGATGACCGATTCGTCACCAACTGTTGCGAGCACGGGGAGTTCTACTGCACGCTGTCGGACAACTACGATCGCATCTCCACGCTTCCCATGCTCTTGTACTTCGTCCTGGCCGCAGACCTCATCCATCTCAATATTCATCTGTCCAGCTTCGTCGTCATTTGTACGTGCTTACGGCTGCATTTGGCTAGTAGGCCCGGATCCCCAATGCGCAAAGCAACTAGTCAAGAGACCCGGCACACATGGGCATCGCAGCACTTGGTTTGTACTTTACCATGGGTGGCTGCGGAAGTAAAGGTCCAGAGGAGATTCCTCGTGTTCAGAGGCTAAACAACTATCTCGTAGAGAAGAAATCGTGCCCATTTGTAGTTTGTATGCCCCCACTGGTCACACACCCCATGTTTTTCCTGCGCTGTGAGAGGATCATGCTAAGGAGTCTTTGGTGGGAGTTTGTACTCTACTTGGGGGCATTGGTCTTTTTGGCCACCGCCTTTGCCAGCGCCATCGCCTGCTTACCACAAACAGGCGAGTTTGTGTGCGGAGTTTGATCGATTTTGTAGTCTCGCTGTCTTGTGTGAGCAGTTCTGTTGCTTGCAACTGTGGCTTGCAGACGAGTCCGTATGCTTGAGTTCTTGGCTACAGGGCTTCGGACATTGTGGGTGTGCGTTTAGAGCCAACACAATAATAATGCCAACAAAACTCATCTTTGTGTAATTAGGTGGAAGCCACTGTGTCCCCGGGCTCCACAACATGGATGCCGAACCTTCAATTTGTTGAGAATCGAAACCGTTACACCGTCCTTTCCATTTGCATCTTCCCATTTCCGAGGCTCCTTAAACGCCGAACCCTGAGTCCCTAACCCCGTCTTCAAGCCCAGAATCCCGACATGTCCCCTAAATCCTAAGCCGTTGTCCTCACCCTGGTCCCGCAATGAGAGGGCTTGACGACAGCGTTCAGCTTCGTGACTTCTACAATTGGCCGACCCTGGGCGTGATCAATGCTTGCGGGGGGTTTACCAGGAGCAACCGATGTAGACTCGTTGCTTTCTGAGTCCCCCTATACCCTAAAACCTAAATCCCTGAACACTTCTGAGTGTTACAGTCTGAACCGCCTCGTGTGCTCCGAGACGCTTATTCTTGAAGCCGGGGCTCCTTCAGGAGTCCTTAGCATGTCCGGTTTGGGTTTTAGGGTTCTAGGGTTTTTTGGGGTTTAAGTTTTTAGGGTCCATAGGGAGTCCTCAGCATGAACTCGTATGGGCTGGATAACTACTTCCGAAGTAGCCCCACGCATGGAAGCCTCAATCCTAAAGCCCTTAGCCTATGCCCCAATTTCTGCAGACCTGTAGCCACCCTAAATTCAAAGCCCCAGAAGATCTTATAGAAACCTACGAAGCCGATAACGCCTATATAACCTACACCGCTTTAGAGCCTCAAGCTAGCCCCCAGGGTCCAAGTAATCCCAACACCATCTTCTAGTAGTATACCGCTCGGAATAATTGCAAATGACATGCCCTTGAAGTGCTGGGCTGCTGCAGGGCAGCTTGAATCCAGGGGTGGGTTAGGTGCATGGCAGGCCAAAAGCCCTCATAGTCGGCTCTTTCCATTTTTGCTTGCCAATAAGCCCTAAACCCATAGGCCCTTAATGGTTCCTTTTTTGGATTACCTTATTATAGGATGCCAAAATTTTAAACCACAAAAAGGAACTACTTGGGGGGCCTTTGGGTAAACCCATACGGGTCCCCGGTAGCTAGGTCTGCCTTCCAGTCGCTCCTCTCCATGTCGCTGAACATGTGCCCTGCCTGTTTAAGGTTCAGGGTTTAGGACGCCCTTGAAGCCACACGTTTCAGCGCAGTTTACCCTATAGACCGGCAAAGGGCTGGTTTCGTAGCCTTCATGCAATACATTCATGTGACCATCCAGGGTTCAATAGCGCCTCGGGTTTGGTCAGGATTGAGCTGCTGTCGGAGTGAGAGTTGCTACGCCGATTGGTGCCCCAAGGCCTTCAGATTCAACCCTGTTTCAACAGCCGAATGAGTCTCGAGATGCTCCGCTGAACGCCTGGAGCCTGCTAAGCACCGGACCCCGCCCCCCCGAAAGGTACAGCGGGAACAACTTCGAGGAAATCAGTGTTGCAACAGAGGTGCCGAACCACTGGGCTGATGGGGTGTGCGATAACTTGCCAACGACGTTGCGAGGATTTGTTCGGAATGCCCCCGCTATCATCAGTGATTTCGAAACACATAACCGCCTGCACGCTGCCCCACTGAAACTTGAGCGAGCAGTTGCCGTTGCTACTTGCAGGGGGTTTCCTACTGGGTTCAAGACCAGCTCCATATCAGGGCGACCCGGCGGCTGATCCCGGGCTTTTGGACTTCCCGAAAGCGAGCCTAGAAATACTAGGATCCTTATTGTAATCCGATAAGAGGCGTTTAGGCAGTTCGAGAAGCATGCTGTGCGGCCCTGAATTAGCCCAAAGAGACCCCATAGATGAGCCTGAAGCCTGCAATGACGCCCAAAGCCGAAAAGTCGTGGACCGGTGCTTGCTGGGTTATGTTACTGCACCCGATAGAAGCTACTAGAGTGAGTGTATACATACATACATACATATATATATATATGTATATGTGTATATATATATATATTTATTTATTTATACTTATATTTAAATTTGTAGAGAAACCTGGTACATAATGTGTTTTTTTTCCCGGTGGTGCTGTCTCAAGGCAAGTCCCCCTCACAAGTTTGCAGATTCAGAATGGTTCATACATTGACTTCATATTCGGGTTCATGGCGAAGGGTTTTTGGGAGCACATCCCTAAATCAAAACCACAAAACCCAAGTCCCGAGCTCTCGCACCAAACCTCCCCAATCCACACAAGCCTTATCAAACCTCACGCACAAATTGAGAGGCTTGCGGGTCAGTCTGCATTCTGAATTTGAGAGCCGAAGCCCAAATCCCAAATCCTAAGCCCTAACCGGGATCTAAGAACGGATTGTTCGATCATGAAGAAGAAGATTCTCTGCAGCATGCTCTGAAGATGAAACCAGAAAACGTGCCGTTCTTCCAAGGGAAGCCCAGTAAACCCTTAAAGCAAACCGATCCCATTTTAAGCCAGTAGTGCAGACCCTTCATTAATACAAGAGGACTAATGTGAATCCCAAATGTCAATGCCCTTAAAGAGAACTCCAAAGCCTCCTAAACCCTTGCATCCTAAGAGTTCCTGACCAAAGATACGACCCCCAAACTCTGGTCTAACTACCGGGCCTTTATGTGTGGGGTTGAGGGTTGAGGGTTGAGGGTTTAGGGTTTAGGGTTGAGTTGAGGGTGTAGATTATCCCCTGGAGCAAGTTCCAAAACCTCAAAGACCTCGTACAGCCGAAAAGGGCTGACACGCCTTGCTGTAAATCCTTGCAGAGCCTCAAGCTCACCCGGAACCTTCATGGAGCCGGGAGCATGCCCCAAACAACGCTCCTTGGAGCACAAGTCTTCAGAGCCTTCTGGCTTTATATGGGAGTTTCCGTAAATACGGGGTACCTTAATCTGGGGTCCTTATAATAAGGATCCTACTATTCAGGGTACTATATTAGGGTCCCCTGTTTTCGGGAACCCCCATATTGCCTGAATCACTGAATTTAATAGGTCTGCCCTGACAGCCCTTCTGCAGTGGATCTATTTGTATGCCCCAACAAAAGTGTAGTAATATGTAACAGTTAAGGCCCCTAGATTACCCAAGCCTCGAAGATCCAACTAATGCCCCATGCAAACCTCTAAAGGGAATGGCAGCTCTCTGTCTTTCTCTCTATGTATATCCAAAAGTATATAAAGGTCTGTGTATATACATATTATACATATATATATATACACATCTATATATATATATAGATATTATAAACCTTCAACCCTATAAACCCATCTATTTTTGTTGCAAGCAGGTGCCCTTGAAGTGGTGGATCATCGGCTTCGGGGCTTGCTGGCACGTTTTCCTCACGAACCTGATGATCGCACACTTCTGTGAGTCGCAGCTTCGAGCCGAGTTTGAGCGTATAGAGTCCTATAGGGCTACAGAATTTGGTGCCTTTAGAACGGCTCTAGTAGGAATGTTTTGGAACTAGGATTATGTTTGAAAGGTGGCTTGAAAGAAAGGGTGTATAAGGGTTTCGGGAGTTAGAGTTTCGGGGTTTGGGGCTTCGGGGAAGAGGGCTTTCAGGTCCAGATATTCAGAGTTGAGCTTTGGCAAATCAAGGTTGAAGATGCTGAAACTACAGGTCTACCAGGTGCCGGGGCCACTTCTGAGGAGGCTTGTAAACCAGTGATTCCATGAAATCGACGCAGAAGCCGTGGTCCCGTCATGTCTCAGAAATCGACCGCAACCGCCGCGCCAGCCGAGAGGTTCAGGGTTTAGGGTCGAGGAACTTTGATGAAGCTGTCAATCCCGAAGCTGGTTCGATGTTGCACCCATGTACCGTGGAATCTTTCAGGATGCCATGGGCCATGCGCCGCTGGGATCAAAATGATGTCCTTCGAAGAGGGGTCATAAGACCCCAGTCAATGCCTTTGTTCCTGGGTCAACCATTAACCAACCGTGAACCTCAAACCCTCAACCCAAATCTCTATGTCCAAAAGGTTCCATGTGCCTATGTACCGCGTACATGCTGCTCTCGAAGCTGCGAGCGAGGAATTCTTCCAAGCCAGCGTATGTAATTAGTATGTACGTAGATGTACAGATAAAAACACGCATATACATAATACATATATACATATGTATAATACATATCTAAATTCTCTATATATATATATATATACATGCGTGTATGTACCTATGTATGCATTAACGAATACAGCATACACAGATGCACGAATCCTTTAGGATTCGTTCTGCCCTTCGCCTGAAAATGCTTGTAATCGCTGCATTTAGGGGAGTGGATTTGTTTGCTGTTGGGAACCTATAAACGAGAACGAACTATAGCAGATGACCCCGCCTTCTGAACCTTAGACTGGAAAAGCCCTAAAGCAATAGGACCTTAAACCCGACATAAATCCCAGGATATCCCAGGGAAGTTTTTGCCTCTTAACCAAGCATGAAAACTTGAACCTAAAATGCTACGCCAGTTTTCTCGAACTAACATTGGCAGAGGTGGTTGACGCGCGGCAAAGACATCTTGGAGACGGCCATGCCCTTGATCTCTGCCAAGAAGTGGAAGGTCAAGCTCAAGAGAGAAGGAAGTCACGACTGACATATACAATGCAAACCACGTCTGCATCCACGCTTCCGATCCTATCCAAACGCTGTGAACCATATGTGTATCTTTGACACCAGCGTTTGGAACAGGTGCCATGCGCATGCAGAGCTTTGAGCTAATGGCGCACATGGCTTCCAAGGGAGGTCCTTCTTGCGATTCTCGCGAAACCAACAACGGCGCGACAGAACGTGCGCTTGACTGCAGGCAATTTGCATACTACACAGCGAGCCTGTGCCTGCCTTACAAGTTATGTGTATATGTATTTGCCGACACCGATGTACCGTTGCACATCTGCAGATCGGTATGTACGTTTGTATGTATGTATGTATGTATGTATGTATGTATGAATGAATGAATGAATGAATGAATGAATGAATGTACGTATGTGTGTATGTATGTATGTATGTATGTATGTATGCATGCATGCATTCATGCGTGCATGTATGTATGTATTTATGTATGTATGTATGTATGTATGTATGCGTGTGTATATTATATTTATACATATACATAGACAGACTGATGAGTATGTACACGTATAAGTACATGAGACGCACAGATGCGTGCTTTTATGTGTGTATATATATATATATACATATCCAAATCTAGATACTCTCTCTCTCTCTATATATATATATAAATACATGTATACATAGATAAATACACACACGTATGCATATATATATATACACATAAAAACATATACATGTACATATATATATATATAATTAGGCCCATATGTATGCACGCAGGTGCACATACACACGCACACATAGACACAGAGAGCCACAAGAAGAGAGAGGCAGGCACAAAATCATGTACACATATTGACTATACATATATGTATGTATACACAAGCCAAAACATATGTATGCATGTATGAATACAGCGATAGATATACATATGCCTGTGTTTATACACATACACACACACACGCAGATTCAGACACGGAGGCAAGCAACCACAAATAAATATATGGTATACGTACAAGAAACTCTCGCGGGGCCAAGCCCCAAGGAAAAGTCATCGGGTGGGGGAGCTGGGCAAGGTAGGGTTTCTAACCTTCGGACCTCGGAAGACTTCAAACAACATGAAATTGCATGTTTTTGCTCAGAATATCGCACTGTGGATCGGGCTTTTGTCTCCCTGTGGACGCAAGTGCCGAGCTACAGGCAATTATGAACAAATGGTGTGCATGTGTAGCTATGCTGGCTAGTCGCATTGCAGGCAACTGCGATGGCTCGCCGAGTAGTGGAGACTTTAACTCCAGAGTGTTCTGAAGGGCTTTTGCTAGCGTTAGCAGCGGCGACATGTTAAGCATTCCGGTGCAAGACCGGTTGTCTAAGCTGTGGCCCTGATGGCCCTCTCAAAGCAACCGGCCGTTTAAGCAGATCCCTCTGTCCGGAGGCTTTTGTGGAGTCTTTGAAGCTGGAGGAGACTCATGAGAGTCAGTCATGTCGGTGCTATAATTCGACTTAGTAAGTAGGTGTTTAATGCCACTATAAGCATCATAACCCGCCCATTTTAAATCCTTGTCGGCCGATAATCTAGAGGAGGGGGCGTTGGAGACAGGTTTTGGGAACCAACCTTAAACCCTATAAACCCTATAAACTCTAAACCCTATATACTATAAACCCTAAGCCCTAAACCCCAAAAGCCCTAAACCCTAACCCCTCAGGTGGCCGCCTTTCGGAGCCGATCTACTTTAGTGGGCTCAACCCATGTAAGGTCCAGGGGCCTAAATAATTAGACTAGGGTTTTGGGGGGTTCCTTAATATAATTATAGTATAATGGGCCCAAAAGCCTAAATAATTGGAATAGGTTTTTTGGGGGGTTCCTGATTATAATTATAGTATAGTGGGCCTAAAACCCTATTCTAATGATTGAGGCCCCTATAGTAAGGTCCAGGGGTTCAGGGTTTACATCTCCAATTAGTCCCGATATAGTCTTGCCAACACGAAAGAACCAACAGACAGAGCAGCTCTCAGGAATCCAGAAGCACTACTCCCGGAAATGCACCCTCAACAAATAAAAAGCAAGGTCGTCAAAATCAAGAACCCTAAATAGGGGCCAAAATAATGACCATTAGTATTTTGGGGGTTCCTTGTTATAATCACAGTATAATGGACCCCAAAACCCTATTCCAATTATGAAGGCCCCTGCATTACTTAAGAGGACCACCCCCCCTGGTGCGCTTGTGGTACCCTAAACCCTAAACCCCAAAACCCTAAACCCTAAACCCGGTTTGAAAGCCCGGTGCAGCAAGGAGCCCTGCGAGTTGGACGAGGGTGATGTCGGTCCTCATGGAGGGGTCGCCACTGTGGAAGGCGATGGCTGAGTGGTTTAGGGGTTTTAGGGTCCTAGGGTTTAGGGGGTTTAGGGTTTAGGGTTTCGGGGTTTGGGGGTTTGGGGTTTAGGGTTTGAGGGTTTAGGGTAATGTAGAGCCCTGAGGAATCGCCCCCATCTCCGAAGCAGGATTGTAGAAGGCGCGTCATACAAAATCCCGTAAAGGAGCTGCAGACTTATACCCCCAAAGAAAACCTCAACCCCTAAACCCTAACCCCTAAAACCACTAAACCCCAAAACCTTAAACCCCTAAACCCATAAACCCTAAACCACTAAACCCCTAAACCCCTGAAGCCCCTAAGCCCTAACTCCCTAAAGCCCCTAAACCCTAACTCCCTAAACCCCGAAATCCCAAAACCC